AAAAAAAAAAAAAACATATTTTTTAGAAAATTTTTTTTTTATCAAACACATGTAATGATGCTTTCAATAAGCAGTTTTGTTTATCAAAAATACAAAAATAGAGAAAAGACAGAATTTACGAGTACTGTTAAGACAAATGACGTACCAAAATAGAATTACTGTACAAAAAAACTCTTAAAATATATGATTTTCCTTGAGAACTTTTTTTTTTTGTCTGCTTCTTATTCGCTTATCGTATTAATCATCGAAACAGTTAGCAAAACCAAAAAAAAATTTTTTGTTTCTTGTCAACCACAGCTGATTGATACCATCTGCCGTATTAAAAAATAATGAATGACAAGGGGGAAAAAAAAGCCGAATGTATCAGCTTCTGTTGTCATTTGAAAAATGATTTTTTTTTTTTTTTCGGATAACAATAGTGTTAATTGCTTAAAATTTTAATTAAATTATTCAAAGCTTTATTTTTTTGCTGTGATTACATCTAACAGCGGTTACAATTTATTGAGCCACTCAAAATTATGTACTTTGTTCAAATGACATTTATAACCTTCAGTTTCCTTCTTCTTCTACGATGTATCAGTTTTGTGATAACCAATAAATAGGAATTAGCTTCTTTTTGACCAACTATTGAATTTGTAAGAAAAAAATTAGAGGTTACTAAACAATGAGATTTATCAACATAAATAATTAAAAGGCTTAGCAGAGATCAGCATAGAGATGTGAACTGATTATCATTAGCCTAACATTTTGAAAGTTTGCATCTGCTTTTATTTTATTGTTTTTTTTTTTTCAAAAAAGCTATAATTTTTTGCCCAAAAAATTTAGCTAAATAGGTGGTAAAAATTTCATACATTTGTAGAAAATAAATTTAATTTACATTTTAATATCTTTATTCAAAACTCATTTCTTATCTGTTTTTTTTTTTTCTGACAATAAACCGGTGATAAAAACGTTTGAAATGTATTCTGAGTGTGCGGTTCAAAAAATATTTCTAAAATGCAAGCAATTAATCAGTTTTTATCCGCTGAGACAGTCCTTCCAATTGTTTTACAGAAATCTTTTTTTTTTTTTGTTTTTAAAATTTTATTGCTTAGAATATTTTTACAAAGAAAAATTTCCCAACGGAATTGAAAAGTCAAAAAAAAATCTAATTTTTTTCTGTTTTTAATTAAAAAAAAACAAGATCTTCTTTTTCCAATTTAAATTTATCATTCAAAAAAAAAACCATTAAATTTTAGTGTCTTCTTTTGAAGTGGAATCAAAAGCTTTTTTTAATTAAGACATTTTTCTCCTTTATCATTTTTGTTTTTGTTTTAACTAATTTTTTCTTCCTTTTTTTTGGAGGGATAAAAATCGAACAAGAATTGGGTAAACCATAGAAAGAACAAAAATTTCCGGTTTCATTTTTTGAATTTTTTGAACCGCAACTGTCATAACGGTGT